TAGGGTTTCTTTGTGTACTGTTTCTTGCCATTTAATTTTTGTATTGTCGAAGTCTTTCATGGCCAGAATCACTGGGTTGTTGTAGGTTTTTTTGGGCTATATGGCCATGTTCTAGAGGCATTCTCTCCTGACGTTTCGCCTGCATCTATGGCAAGTATCCTCAGAGGTAGTGAGGTCTGTTGGAACTAGGAAAATGGGTTTATATATCTGTGGAATGACCAGGGTGAGACATAGGACTCTTGTCTGCTGGAGCTAGGTATGAATGTTTCAACTGACCGCCTTGATTAGCATTTGATTGCCTGGCAGTGCCTGGAGCAATCTTTTGTTGAGAGGTGATTAATGTCCATTTAATTTTTGTCATTAGTATGTTGTAAAACGGCTCGAGTAAGTAAATAAATATCAAGGCCACACCATTGTTGTTGTTTAGTGTTGGGTTGTCCCTCAGGGTTGTGCCGTTGTGGTTGGCCAGCAGTCAGGAACTATGGGAGCAGAACTCTAAAATATCTGGAAGATCCAATTTTTGGGAACCCCAAACATCTTGATGTAACTGTGGCTCATTCAGAGGGAAATGCAGAGGGGCTGAAGGTGGGCGAGAAGAGTCTTGTTTACCTTTTTGCTTAGTGTTAGGCCACATGGCAACTTTCCTTTTCCCTTTCCACCGGCTTAAGCTGGCTGGGGCTGCTGGAATTTGTAGTCCAACCATATCTGGAGCACTGTGCAATTTCCATCATTTCTCTCAACTCACTGCATGGTTTGCTTGACTTCCCTTTTCAAGACTGTTGTCATTTATTATCTTTCAGTGCTAGAGATTGTAAATAACCAGGATTGGGCCGGCCACAAAGCAAAGAGCCGTAGTTCAATTTCCAACTGAGAATCCACACTGGAGGCAAGAGAAAGGAGTCCGCTTTGCATTTGGGAGTTTTCCCCTGGATTTTGGAATACCTGTTTGCATTTATGCAAGGGTTGAATGAAAAGTAATGCCTCCACCTTCCTTACTTGGGTTTGGATGGGAATATTTTAATAAATCAAACGCAGAAATAATCCTTAGAATGTGCTCTTTAACTACCACTATTCACTTTTCCACATAATCACCAGACAATTGGATACATTTCTGCCAACGATGAACAAGTTTTCTGAAGCCGTCACAGATGTCTGTGCGCTTTCATTTCAGGCGTCAGCATCCTGGGTACCCATCGTGCACAGATCTTCTGATAGCCAGGCAAAGCAATAATGTGACCCACACGTTCTTGTTAAATGCCGATTATGCTTATAATTTCTCTCTGAGTAATATATTGATTGTTAACTTGCATAAAGTTGCATTGACTGACCATCTGCGCAGTGTTCCATACTTTGCATTTTAACAACACAACCGTTCAATGCTAAGGCTTCCTGTCAAAATGGAACTGTAGAGGAGAGTCTACTGAACAAGCCAGTACTTGCCGCATACCAGTACTGCCATCTGTTGAGGAGTTATGAAGGTGGAGGCATTACTTTTTATTCAACCCTCGTAGATACCTAATGAAATATCCTGTAGATGGGACCCAAGCCTGTAAACACAACAATAATTTTTGTTTCATGGATACCTTGTTGTTATACACACAACCTGAAGATAATTTCATGCAATATTTTTATATAATGTTTTAATAATTTAGTGCAACTAAAACAAGGTTTGTGTACCTGCCACTTAGGCAGGAAAAACGAAATGCAAAGATATAGAATGGGGGACAATGCCTGGCTTGAGAGCAGTACGTGTGAAAAAGATCTTGGACTCCTCGTGGACAACAAGTTAAACATGAGCCAGGAATGTGATGTGGCGGCAAAAAAAGCCAATGGGATTTTGGCCTGCGTCAATAGGAGCCTAGTGTCTAGATCTAGGGAAGTCATGCTCCCCATGCTCTATTCTGCTTTGGTTAGACCACACCTGGAATATTGTGTCCAATGCTGGGCACCACAATTCAAGAGAGATATTGACAAACTGGAATGTGTCCCAAAGAGGGCGACTAAAATGATCAAGGGTCTGGAGAACAAGCCCTATGAGGAGTGGCTTAAGGAGCTGGGCATGTTTAGCCTGAAGAAGAGAAGGCTGAGAGGAGACATGATAGCCATGTATAAATATGTGAGAGGAAGCCACAGGGAGGAGGAGGGAGCAAGCTTGTTTTCTGCTTCCTTGGAGACTAGGACGCGAAACAATGGCTTCACACTACAAGAGAGGAGATTCCATCTGAACAATAACTTTCTGACTGTGAGAGCCGTTCAGCAGTGGAACTCTCTGCCCGGGAGTGTGGTGGGGGCTCCTTCTTTGGAGGCTTTTAAACAGAGGCTGGATGGCCATCTGTCAGGGGTGATTTGAATGCAATGTTCCTGCTTCTTGGCAGAATGGGGTTGGACTGGATGGCCCATGAGGTCTCTTCCAACTCTTTGATTCTATGATTCTACCTTCAAGCAGCAAAAAGCAAAGGTCTTTCTCTCTCTCTCTCGCATCCACCTTGGTGGACAGTTTTGGATTTTGGAAAAGGGATATGCAACTTGTTTATTTTCTTGTTCACTGGATTTAATTTTAAGTCATTTGTGGGTTCCTTTCACATTAGAAGGAAGGCCAAGGATTTGTCTAACAAATAAGAGAATTGGAAGGGACCACAAGGGCCATCTAGTCCAATCCCTGCCATGCATTCCTGATAAATGCCACCCAAACTCTGCTTAAAAGCCTCCATAGAAAGAAACTCATTCCCTTGTGAGGTGGTCTGGCCGTCAGTCTTACTGTTGAGCAGTGGTTACTATCAAGGAGTTCTTCCTAATGTTTGCATGGAATCTCTTTTCTTGTCCTTTGGATCCAAGTTGTGCTCAAACACCCCAACCCTTCTTGGAAGATCTCCAATGAAGGAGGATCCACAACCCTTCAAGGTAGGGTACAGACTGTGCTGTCAAACATCTCTTGTTTTCAGAGAGGTCTTCTTCATATTTAGGTAGAATGCACTGTTAGTCACCCAAGTGTGCCATGGTAGGTCTGGAGGCATCCCATTCATACCTGTCCTATTATTGTCCTTTGACTCTGATGATTGATCTTCAGGATCTCCTGAGAGGTAGCCACCCAACCCTTCTTTCAGGAAAGTTTAGATGTTAGAAGTCAGGCTGTACCCAAGTGGGAGTTGGGAGCATCTTATTCACACTTGTCCTTTTCTTGTCTTTTGGATCTAATGATCTGTGTTCAAGAATCCCTGAAAGGTGACTATCCAGCTCTTCTTAGAAGACCTCCAACAAAGGAAAGTCCTTCAAAAATTGTTTCAACACAACCTGCACTGATCTTCAGGAAGCTCTTCTTCATGTTTAGGTCAGCTTCATAGGTGTCATCCAGTTGTAGTCTGATAGGTTGGGGGTATCCCATTCATGCCTCTCAAACCTGTCCTTTGGTCCCAATGATTTGTGTTCAAGCATCTCTAAAGAGATGGCCACCCAACGCTTCTTGGAAGGCCTCCAATGAAGGAGGGTCCACAGTCTTTCAAAGCAAGGTTCAACCCTACCTTCCTTCACAGTCACTTATTTTCAAGAAGGTCTTCCTCCTGTTTAGGTGGACCTCTTGGTTACTCACCTCGTTGTATCTGGTGGATTGGGAGCATCCCATTCATACTTGTCCTTTTCCTATTCTTTGGATCCAATGATTTGTGTTCAAGCATCACTAAAGAGATGGCCACCCAACGCTTCTCAGAAGACCTCCAGTGAAGGAGGGTCCACAGTCTTTCAAGGCAAGGTTCAACCCTACCTTCCTTCACAGTCACTTATCTTTAAGAAGGTCTTCCTCCTGTTTAGGTGGACCTCTTGGTTACTCACCTCATTGTACCTGATGGATTGGGAGCATCCCATTCACACTTGTCCTTTTCCTATCCTTTGGACCCAATGATTTGTGTTCAACAACTCCTGAGGAGTGACTGTCCAGCCCTTCTTGGAAGGCCTCCAACAAAGGAAGGTCCTTCAAATATTGGTCTCGACTGCAATAAGGAAGACCTAAAGTGTTTCAAGGCAACACTCAACCCTATGTGCCTTTATTGTTAAACATCTCTTATCTTCAGGAAAGTCTTCCTCATGTTTAAATGGACTTCATTGTTAGTCATACAGCTGTATCCTAGTAAGTTGGGGGTCATACCACTCACACTTCTCACGCCTCTCCTTTTCTTGTCCTTTGAATCCAATGATTTGTGTTCAAGCACACCTGAGAGGTGGCGTTCCAGCCCTTCTTAAAAGACCTCCAACAAAGGAAGGTCCTTCCAAGATAGGTTTTGACGCTACCTGAATTTATCTTCGGAAAGGGTTTCTTCATATTTAGGCAAACCTCATTGTAATCCGGTCATAGTCTGATGGGTTGGGGGCATCCTATTCACACCTCTCAAACCTGTCCTTTGGATTCAATGAGAAGTGGCTACCAACCCTTCTTGAAAGACCTCCAATGAAGTCCACAGTCTTTCAAGGAAAAGTTCAACTCTACCTTCACTGTTAGACATCTCTTATCTTCAGAATGGTCTTCCTCCTGTTTGAGTAGACCTCATTGTTGGTGATATGCTTATAGTCCGATGGGTTGGGAGTGTCCCATTCACAACTGTCCTTTTTCTTATCTTTTGGATTCAGTGATTTGTGTTCAGGAACCCCTGAGGGGTGACTATTCAGACCTTGCAACAAAGGAAGGTCCTTCAAAGATAGGTTTTGACGCTAGCTGCACTTATCTTCAGGAAGGTCTTTTTCACGTTTAGGTGGATCTCACTGTTAGTAACCTGGTCATAGTCTGAGGGGTTGGGGGCATAATATTCACACCCTAAGAAATAGCCATCCAACTCTTCTTGGAAGACCTACAGTCTTTCAATGCAAGGGTCAACTTTACCTTTGCTGTCAAACATCTGTCTTAGGAAAGGTCTTCCTCCTGTTTAGGTGGACCTCATTGTTAGTAACCTAGTCATAGTCTGATGGATTGGGGGCATCATATTCACACCTCTGATGTCTGTCCCTCCCTTTAGGGGCCAGGATTGGAGTCTGACCGGCGACTGCGGCGCCTGCCTTCGCGCCTCTCCGCAGACCCCGAGAGGGAGGCCCCAGCGGCGGAGATCTCCCTGACCTTGATTGCCTCCTTCCAAGCCATGGAGAAGAAGATGGATTCCCATGCTACGCGGCTGCTGGACCTGGAAGGCCGGGCAGGGACGGCCGAGAAGAAGATCCTGGACTGTGAGAAGACCACCGTGGAGATGGGCAACCAGTTGGAGAGCAAGTGGGCCACCCTGGGCACCCTCATCCAGGAGTATGGGCTGCTCCAGCGCCGGCTGGAGAACATGGAGAACCTGCTCAAGAACCGGAACTTCTGGATCCTGCGGCTGCCCCCAGGCTCCAAGGGAGAGACCCCTAAGGTGAGTCCCCTCTGATTTGGTGGAATACAGGCAGTCCCCAAGTTACAAAGAAGAAGAAGAGAGGTTCTGTAGGTTTGTTCTTAAGTTCAGTTTGTATGTAAGTCAGAACAGGTACATTTTTAAGTGTAACTCCAGCCATTTATTTATCTATATCTCTATCTATCTATCTATCTATCTATCTATCTATCTATCTATCTATCTATACATACATACATACATACATACATACATACATACATACACAACACACACACACACATATATAACAAGGACTGGAGAAAAAGCTTCAGTGGAGACTCCTTTTCCCCAGGATAATAACTCTTCCAGGAGTGGATTTCCCTTCCTAAAGGTAGATTTCCCTCACTTCCTGTTGTCTCGTCCATGTTGTCAAGTATGAGTCATATGTAAATAGAACATTTGTATCTCAGGAACTTCCCATAATTCTATAAACTCTAGAGTTAACCCACCTGTGCTATTTTTGGGGTTCTAGGTGCCGGTGACGTTTGACGATGTGTCTGTCTATTTCAACGACAAGGAATGGGAGAAGCTGGAGGAGTGGCAGAAGGAACTCTACAAAAACCTGATGAAGGGGAACCACGAATCCTTGATCTCTTTGGGTAAATTGCTTCTCCGTCCTTTGAGTTGAATGTGGGTTGTATTGGTGTATTGCTAGAATCATAGACTGCATTAATTCTACAGTGTAGATGCACCCCAGGGTTAACCCTTTGGATTTAAAACAAATCTCAAGGAAAACATAAAGAAAACCAAGTCAGTCCAACAATTTGCCATGCAGAGATAACACACACATAATAATGATAATAATAAGAACAATAACAATAATAACTACAATAATAATAACAACAAGATCACATCCTCAACTGCTGCAAGAAGATCGCGCCAACAGACTACAAGCAGAGGCATAACACCATTGCTCAGATGATTCATTGGAACCAATGCCATCAAAGCCAGAATTGAAAAGTTGACAACAGATCCCAAGTGTAGACTCTGCAAGGAAGCAGATGAAACAATAGATCACATCCTCAGCTGCTGCAAGAAGATTGCGCAAGAAGATTGCGCAGACAGGCTACAAGCAGAGGCACAACACTGTTGCTCAGATGATTCATTGGAACTTGTGCCACAAACACCATCTGCCTGCGACAAAGAACTGGTCTGATCACAAGCTGGAAAGAGTTACAGAGAATGAACACGCCAAACTCCTCTGGGACTTCTGAATTCAGACAGACAGAGTTCTGGAGCACAATGCTCCTGACCTCACAATTGTGTTAAAAAACAAAGTATGGATTGTCGATGTTGCAATCCCGGGTGACAGCAGGATTAACAAGAAACAACTAGAAAAGCTGACACGATATGAGGATTGAAAGATCGAACTGCAAAGACTCTGGCACAAACCAGTAAAGGGGGTCCCAGTGGTGGTTGGCACACTGAGTACAGTGCCTACAGACCTTGGCCTAAACTTAAACACAATCGGCACTGACAAAATTACCACCTGCCAGCTGCAAAAGGCCACCTTACTGGGATCTGCACGCATTATTCGCCGATACATCACACAGTCCTAGACACATGGGAAGTGTCCAACGTGTGATCCAATTCAACAGCCAGTAGAGTGTCTGCTGTGGAGTCATTTTGTTGTGTTTCAAATAACAACAACAATAATAATTTATTTATATTTATATTTATTTATATAATAATCATAATCATCATCATCATCATCATCATCAAAGCACAGCAGACAAAGAATCAGTGCAAGAAAACTGCATTCCAAACCAGAGCTGATAGCTGGCACAACAAAGCATGGCATGGGCAGTTCCTTGACAAAATTGAAGGAAAAGTGGAGAAGGAGAAGACCTGGTGATGGGTCACGAATGGAACCTTGAAGAAGGAGACAGAAGAAAGCCTGATTCTTGCAGCCCAGGAGCAAGCCATCAGAACAAAGGCCATTAAGGCCAGGATTGAAAAGTCAGCGGATGACCCAAAATGCGGACTGTGCAAGGAAGCGGATGAAACCATGGATCATCTCCTCAGCTGCTGCAAGAAAATTGCGCAGACAGACTACAAACAGAGGCACAACTCTGTGGCCCAAATGACTCACTTGAACTTAGGTCACAAGTACCATCTGCCAGTAGTCAAGAACTGGTAAAGGGATCATAAACCTGCAAAGGTCGTGGAAAATGAACATGCAAAAATACTGTGGGACTTTCGAATCCACACTGACAAATTTTTGGAACACAACACACCAGACATCACGATTGTGGAAAAGAAAAAAGTTTGGATGATTGATGTCACCATTCCAGGTGACAGTCGCATTGAGGAAAAGCAACAGGAAAATCTGTGTTGTCATCAGAATCTCAAAATCGAACTGCAAAGGCTCTGGCATAAACCAGTACAGGTGGTCCCTGTGGTCATCGGCACACTGGGTGCCGTGCCAAAATATCTCAGTGGGTACTTGGAAGCAATAAACATGGACAAAATAACGATCTCTCAACTGCAAAAGGCCACCTGACGGATCTGCATACATCATTCAAAAATACATCACACAGTCCTATTTATTTATTTGTTTGTTTGTTTATCGTGTCATCAGCAACCATACCATTGTATTACATTTCTAACAGAACAAAACAAACAAACAGACAAAAAACCCCACAAATTTTGCAAACTTGGTAGTTGATTAAATGTCCTTTGACCAGTATCTGGCCCCTTGGAGTGCCTCTGGTGTTGCCGCAAGAAGGTCCTCCATGGTGCATGTGGCAGGGCTCAGGGTGCATTGCAGCAGGTGGTCAGTGGTTTGCTCTTCTCCGCACTCGCATGTTGTGGATTCCACTTTGTGGCCCCATTTATTGAGGTTGGCTCTGCATCTCGTGGTGCGAGAGCGCAGTCTGTTCAGCGCCTTCCAAGTCGCCCAGTCTTCTGTGTGCCCAGGGGGGAGTCTCTCATCTGGTATCACCCACGGATTGAGGTTCTGGGTTTGAGCCTGCCACTTTTGGACTCTTACTTGCGGAGGTGTTCCAGCAAGTGTCTCTGTAGATCCTAGACACACAGTCCTAGATGCTTGGGAAGTGTTTGGCTTGTGAACCTTCTCTTCTCCTTAAGGCAAACATTCCCAGCTTCAGAGGGATTCATAGTTTACAACCTTTGCCAATTTTGGTCAGCCTTCTTGAGAGACTTGTCCATCTGCTTTGTCCAGAGTGGACACAGAGTTATTCCAGGTGAAGTCTGACCAAAGCAGCAGAAGGGAGTGGACCATGGCTTCCCTCAAACGGTGTGTCTTTCTTCAAACTGCGGGCCTCTGTGCCTGCGTCTGGATTATAATCAGGCCCTGCGTACGTCGTCCCTCCTTAATCCTGACCGTCTGTTTAATCTGCTGGGAGCGTTTCCATTCTCATTAGTTTCCGCTCTCTGGGCAGCTGACTCCTTAACTGGGAAATAGAGAGATTGCCCTTTGGCATTGAGGGTTTTTTTGAACTGCCGTATTTACTTGAGTTTCATGTGCCATTGGATCTAATGCACACCTCCATTTCCAAAACCCTGGGCCCAAAAAGAAAGTATTTGCTGGTAAATGTAATGCATGGTGGCAAAAAGTACACTCTGTGTAATATAATGAATGTTGCAGAATGAATCCACCTTAACCGCCTTGCTTCAATACTGTAGCATTGTAGTTTTCCAAGGTCTCGGGCCTTTCCTGCCAAGGAATGCTGATGCCTCGCCAAACTACAAATCCCAGGTTGCATTGCATTGACATCCTACAAATAGGAAATGACATCCTGCAAATAGGAAATTCCAGGTGTATTTCCTGAAGCAGCTCCCCCTTTGGCTTAGTGATACATATGATGCAAATCTAATACACACCCTAATTTTGGCAAGGAAATTTACCCTCAAAAGAGCATTCGAGTCAAGTAAATAGGGTCACCTTCATTGACCTAAGGTTGTGTTAGGCGCCAGGGGAAAGGTGTGCTGAGCGTCTTAATTGTTGCCCGAACTGCCTCTGTTTACTGTAACTTCTCTTCCTGTTCAAGGTCTCAAAATCAGCTTCATTCTCAGACAGCTGCTCAGGGATTCCCTTGGGAATCCTCTTGCAGCAACTCAGGCGTTTGCTCTAAGCTCCCATAAGGCCCAAGCAACCCCTCATCCCCAAATCCAACAGACCCTGGTCCAGGAACCGGATCATCATCATGCCCATTCCCAGCATGAACATCAGCATGAACATTAGACACAATCACAGGCTGATATACAACACTACAAATGCCTAGAGAGAACATATTATTCCGTTGCTTGCTGGGCAGCAGTAAAAAACAACAGCAGCAATACAGTATTGCAGATACTTGAATCTGCAAATGCTTAAACACAAATGAGCAGGGGAGACTATAGTCTCAAAAAATGCACCGAGACTGTGGTGCAGCTGGATGGGAGTCAGCTACATTAAGATCACTACTGACCGAAAGGTCATGAGTTCAAATCCAGAATGGGTCGGAGTGAGTGTCCGACCAATTTAGGTAGCTTGCTGCCGACCTTTGCAGCCCAAAAGACAGTTGCATCTGTCAGGTAGGAAATTAGCAGGGAGGCTAATTTAACTAATTTACGATGCCATAAAAATTTCCAGCGAGCATGCAAAGAATGAGGAAGTACTTCATCAGTGTCACAAATGGACGGTGAAGCAACAGCTCCCCTGGTGGCCAGAATACCCTCATGAAAAAGCTGGAATGTTAAATAGCCTCTGTGTGTCTGTCTATAGATGTTGTGTGTCTATGGCATTGAATGTTTGCCATGTATACGTACATTGTAATCCGCCCTGAGTCCCCTGTGGGGTGAGAAGGGTGGAATATCAATACAGTAAATAAATAAATAAACAACAACACCCATATCTATATCTATATTGTCTTTATCCCAACAGACTATGCCATTTCTAAACCAGGCGTTTTAGCGCAGACGGAGCCGGGTCCAGATGGAGATGAGCAGGATTCAGAGGAACAGGGCAGCCCTCCGGATCCCACGGCAGGTAGGTTTTGAGGTTGGCTTCCTCAGTTTTACAGTCAGGTGTAGAAATGTGCAAAAGCCCAGCGATGGAGGAAATTGGGACTGTTGGAGGATATTGGTCTTGGGATGGTTCTACATCAGGCATGGGACAACTTTGGCTGTCCTCCAGGTGTTTGGACTCCAACTCCTACCAGTCCCTTCCTTTTTCCTTTCCTTTCTGCTTAAGCGGCTGAGGGGGAAAAGGAAGGGGCCTGAGGCTGTTAAGAATGGTGGGAGTTGGGAGTCCAAAACACCTGGAGGACAGCCCAAGTTGGCCCATGCCTTTTCTACACTGTAGAATGAATGCAGTTTGACTTCAACTGCCATTTCTCAGTGGTGGGAGTTGTAGTCTGTGGAGGTGCCAGAAGGCTAAAAGGCCTTATCAAGCTACAGCTCCCATTATTCTACGGCATTGAGCCATGGCACTCAAAGCAGTGTCAAACAGCATTCATTTTCCAGTGCAGATGCTCCCTTTGAAGTCCAAAACACCTGGAAGAAGGGCCAAAGTTTGCCCATACTTGCACTAGGAGTTATCTTGAACCCCTATTTCATTTTGCTTCCTAATAAAGTGAGACTGTGTTTGAGTCATGATGATAATTCTGAGCAATGAGTAAAAATAGTCCTGGCTCTGTGACAGATGAGGATATAGCATCACAGAGTTGGAAGAGACCCTCAAGGGCTGTCTAATCCAACCCCTTTCTGCCAGGCAGGAAGACACAATTAAAGCGCTCCCAAAAGATGGCCACCCAACCTCTGCTTAAAATATCCAGAGAAGGAGACTCCACTGGGCTCTGAGGGACTTTCCACACCACCATAGAACCCAGAATATCAAGGCAGATAATCCACAATGTCTGCTTTGAACTGGGTTATCTGAGGGTTCCTACACACTGCCATAGAACCCAGAATATCAAGGCAGAATAACTCACAACTGCTTTGAACTGGGTTATATCTGTCCACATTGCAATTTAGCTGTGTGGAAGGGGACTAAGGCGGCACATTCCACTATCAAACAGCTCTTACCACCAGATGGTTCCTCCTAAAGTTAAGGTGGGATATCTTTTCCTGCAATTTGAATCCACTGCTTCATTGCATCTGAGTCTTTGGAGCATCAGAAAATGAGCTTGTCTCCTCCTCAGCGTGACCTCTTTCCAATATGTAAACAAGACTATCATATTCCCTCCCCATCTTCTCTTCTCTAAATACGAAGGTTTCCCTGCAGATATCTCTGTCACGCACACACACACATATATATCTCCCCACGCTTTGCCTCCTCTTAGCTGGCCTTCGGGTGGTGATCAAAACGGAGGAGCCCCATTCGGACGACTGCCCGGAAGACCTGGAGCGGCAGCAGATGTCCGGCAGCTCGGAAGGGGATTTCCAAGGTCTGGATCAAGAACCGCCCTGCGGAAGCCCCTACAGTGCAGCCAACAATGCGGAGGAAGGTGGCGAATATGGCAGCTTCGGGGAAATCAAGAGGGTCACCGTGCAACATGGCAACTGCACAGGTGAGGAGGGGCCTCTTCTTTCCACCGCCATACCATTTCTCGGCCTCCCAAACCTCAGCAGGATTCACCACTGACACTTTCTCCAACATGGAAGCAACCATCACTGTCTTAAAAACCATTTCTCGATCGCTCTAGAGCAGGCCTGGGCAAACCTGGGCCCGTCCTCCAAGTGTTTTGGACTTCAACTCCCACAGTTCCTAACAGCTCGTAGGCTGTAGGAATTGTAAGATTTGAAGTCCAAAAGTCCTGGAGGGCTGAAGTTTGCCCATGCCTGTTCTAGACTATCATAGGTATCTGACTCTATTCAGATGACAACGCTTGTTTTTCACCCTCTAAATATGATGTGGAGAGCTGCAGTATAGTTGGAAAACCTGGGGCTATGAGGCAATGCAAGCAGATAGCAGAATATGCAACTTCGACCTTTTAAGATGCCAACTCCAGGCGTTTTGATAGTCTGAAAACTAGCTTGGCATTCTTCAAGAATTTTGTAAAGGATAATCTTAAGTGAAATGGGTTGTTGTAGGTTTTTTCGGGCTGTATGGCCATGGTCTAGAGGCATTTTCTCCTGACGTTTCACCTGCATCTATGGCAAGCATCCTCAGAGGTAGTGAAGTAGTGACCTCACTACCTCTGAGGATGCTTGCCATAGATGCAGGCGAAACGTCAGGAGAGAATGCCTCTAGACCATGGCCATACAGCCTGAAAAAACCTACAACAACCCAGTGATTCCGGCCATGAAAGCCTTCGACAAAACATTAAGTGAAATGAATTTCACAAAGAAGGATTAGAGAGCAGGGCCAAAACAGGAGGGAGAAATGCATGGTACTGATCACGATGCTAGGGCTCTGCCGGTACGCAGGCAGAGATGAACCAAAACAAACACCCAGCTTGTGTCAAACTGCTTAATTAAAGCAGCACTTCATTTCTGGCTGTTTTCATAGTCCAAATATAAAACAAAGATAGCACTCGGCCACAGAATATAAAACTAAAACTGATAGCAAGCACTGATGCAGGTTCAATAAAATACTGTAGTCAAAGGGTCCAGTCCAGTGGTGAAACACGGAGATGATTAAAGTCCAAAGATCAAGAGTCTAAACATTTTAAGCAGAGGGCCAGGTCACAGTCCCTCAAACAGTTGGAGGGCTGGATTATAATTTCAAAAAAACATGAATGAATTCCTATGCACACTGCACATATCTTATTTGTAGTGCAAAAATAACTTTAAAATGATACAATAATTAAAATGAAGAACAATTTTAACAAATATAAACTTATTAGTATTTCAATGGGCCTGCTTTTGGCTGATTAGATAGGATTGTTGTTGTTGTTGTTATTCTGTGCTTTCAAGTCATTTCAGACTTATGGTGACCCTGAGCGAGGGCCGGGTAAATGACCTTGGAGGGCCTTATCCAACCCTCGGGTCTTATTTTGAGGACCCCTGGTCTATACCATAGTCAAAAGCCAGTCCAGAGATTCAAGGTTCTAGAGCAATGGTTCTCAACCTGGAGTCCCCAGGTGTTTTTGGCCTTCAACACCCAGAAATCCTAACAGCTGGTGAACTGGCTGGGATTTCTGGGAGTTGTAGGCCAACAACATCTGGGGATCCCAGGTTGAGAACCACTGTTCTAGGGTTCCAAGAGTTCAGGTGACAGGTCAAGATAACAAAAATCCACAAACCTGGGGGGAAACCAGCAGCATCTCCCAAGATAACTCTCCAGGCTAGCTCCTTATAACCATAAAACCAAGGTGCAACCTATCCCTTGCATGCCTCCACCCTTCATTGCTTTCACCTGTAAACTCTTACTTATAGATTACTCTGCCCTGTAGAGCTAAGACTTACATTAACCCCTTCCATCACTAATTGCTAAGTCTGCCACCACCAATGCCCCAGGGGCAGAGGAATGGCCGACTGAACGGTCAGCTGATTGCTTGCTGAAGAGTGTTTTTTTTAATTTATCGTGTCAGGAGCAACCAGACATTTGTATTACATTTTTAACAAAACAAACAGACAAAGCACAAAGTTTGCAAGCTTGGTAGTTGATTAAATGTCCTTTGACCAGTATCTGGCCACTGTTTTGTAGCAGGTTTCCTATGAGGCGAGTGAGGTGGTCGTCCTTTGTGATATTATACATTTTTCTCAGGAGGAGGCGGTGGTTCACAGTATCATAGGCTGCTGACAGGTCTATGAAGACAGCGCCTGTGATCTGCTGCCTTTCAAAGCCATCTTCTGTGTGCTGAGTCAGGTTCAGCACTTGCGATGTGCAGCTTTTGCCTTTCCTGAAGCCAGCTTGCTGTGGGATCAGACAGGGGTCTATTTTTTCCATAAATAGTGGGTGATGGAGGGAAACTGCGAAACATGATACACGACGGCTGACCAATCAGTTTATTGCTTGCTGAAGAGTGGGTGATGGAGGGAGACTGCGAAACATGATACACGACAGTACTACACCGTTCATGTGAAAGGGATCTAGGGTCTTAGTCGACTTCAAAGTGAACAGGAGTCAAAAGTGTGATGTGGAAGCTGGAAAGGCACATGCAATTCTAGACCGCATTGAAAGGAGTCTAGCTAGTGTCCAAATTGAGGGAGGTCACAGTCCTTCTCTATTCCTGCTTCTTGGCAGAGGGTTGGACTGGATGGCCCACGAGGTCTCTTCCAACTCTGATTCTATGATTATATTTTGCTTTGGAAAGACCTCACCTAGATTAAGATTGTTGTTGCAACCCAGAGCTGGAAACGAGACCATAAGATAACAATCCACCACACTTGACTGTGGGGAAAAAACAATCCCTTTTTATTGATGAAAAATGGTTACAAAATAGAGGAAAATGCAAAGTCAAAAAACCACAGTAAAATTCAGCAGTCAGGCATATCCATGAAAATCCAAAAGCAACACTGTAAGAACCTGGAACCTGTTAGCAAACCACTATCCGTACTTGGAGCACTAGAAGCCTCTTGGGATGTAGGCCATGGGAAACAGGGAAATCTGCCAAGGTAATGCCTCAGTCTAAACGATGCCTGATCTAACGAGACAACCCGGCGAGAGGCACTTAAAACTGAAGAAACTATTTCGTGACACGCCTCCAGGCTTTGAAGCCTGAGCTTCCTTTTCCTTTAATCTGCTTGACCTTCGCAGACTCTGCTGTTCACTCCTGTTTTTCCAAATCTGTCCTTTTCTATCCTCATTAAGGAAGCCAGGTGTTAGCTCCTCTGGAGAGCTATCACCGCTTGGCTCTGCAACATTCTCATCAGAATGTGTAGTTTCACTTTCCAAGCCACTGACCTCAGGGAGAAATAAATTTTCAGTAGCATCAGGAAATACAATCAGAGAATCAGGTTCAGGTTCACACGCAGGCTGAATCCTAACAATTGTGTCCAGATCTGGGCATCAGAATGTATGGCCCTTGTAGTCTCTGCCAACTCTATGCCTCAGTAATGTTTTCAGAATTAAACCCCTGCCCCCCATCTTGCCAACTTATACTGATCTACTTTGTTTTGAATTTTCCTCCCTGACAAGATGATGGAATTGTGATCAAAATGGAGGAGGAAGAGGAAGAGGAGGAAGAAGAGGAGGAGGAAGAGGAGGAGGAAGAGGAAGAAGAGGAGGAGGAGGAAGACCCGGTCAGCTTGGAGCCCCGGGGGCTGTTCTCGTCGAGGGCCGAGCCCCCTTGCTCCCTGAATTGCAACGTGGAAACCCGGCGAGAGGAGCAGCGGGTCCCGAAGCCCGCCCGGCCCACGGTGGGGATCTGCGCCCCCCTGTGCGAGAGGGACAATAGCGCCGAGGCCCGGCCTGTCATGCTGCAGCAGCGGAACCGGACGCGGGAGCGGCCCTACGTCTGCCCGGAGTGCGGGAAGAGCTTCATGCTGCGCATCAACTACATCATCCACCAGCGCAACCACCTGAAGGAAGGGCCCTACGAGTGCCACGCCTGCGACCTCAGCTTCCGCATCAAGCAGCAGTTCCTGCTGCACCAGCGGCTCCACACCGCGCGGCGTGGAGGAGTGGCAGCCCCTCCGCCCCGCCGGGGACAGCCCTTCCCAGAGAAGAGAGGCCTCAAGCCGCAGCCGCGGCCGCCGTCAGCCCCAGGGAAGCCCTACAAGTGCGGTGAGTGCGAGAGCAGCTTCAGCCACAAGTCCAGCCTGAGCAAGCACCAGATCACGCACGTGGGAGAGCGGCCGTACTCCTGCGGCGAGTGCCGGAAGAGCTTCCGGCTGCAGATCTCGCTGGCCATGCACCAGCGGGTGCACACGGGGAAGACCGAGCTCTCCTTCATCTGCCCACAGTGTGGCAAGGCCTTCAGCCGCCCTTCGCACCTCCTGCGCCACCAGCGGACTCACACCGGCGAGCGGCCCTACAAGTGCAGCCAGTGCGACAAGACCTTCAGCGAGAAGTCCAAGCTGACCAACCACTACCGCGTCCACACCCGGGAGCGGCCGCACGCCTGCGGCGAGTGTGGGAAGGGCTTCATCCGCAAGCACCACCTCCTGGAGCATCAGCGCATCCACACCGGGGAGCGGCCCTACCACTGCGCCGAGTGCGGGAAGAATTTCACCCAGAAGCACCACCTGCTGGAGCACCAGCGGGCGCACACTGGCGAGAGGCCCTACCCCTGCACCGAGTGCGCCAAGTGTTTCCGCTACAAGCAGTCCCTCAAGTACCACTTGCGGACACATATGGGGGAGTGAGGGTCGCTCGCTCGCCCCTCCTTGGTCTTGCGCATCATCCGGCATCCCTGGCGCCCGGGGGACAGAGGACTGGCCGGCTGACCGGTCAGTTGATTGCTCGCTGAAGAGTGGGTGATGGGGGGAAGCCCTTCCCATGTACCCCTCTGCCCCCCCTCCTGCCCCTTCCCACCCAGGAGCAGAGACGCGTGGTCTCTCCCTAGAAGTAAATAACGGGTTTCAGAATCAAACTAACCGCACCTGTTGGCACCATGACACTTGCCAGACCTTGAACTCTATTCGCCTTGCTTCTGCCTTCCTTGCCCCCTGTTCTGTTCTTTTTGATAATAAATGTGGAGTCTGATTTATTTGGTAAGCAAACGCTGAAAAGTTTCGGGTTTGTTTCATTCACTCCTCAGAGTGCTGTTGCGCGTTCAGGTTCGCATCCTGTTAGGAACTACGGAGGCGTGAGTTCATCCTACACCTCTACATATATTTCTGGGTCATTTTGGAGCAGGGCATTCCCTTCTACTCTCAAGAGTGGCCAGAAATTTATTACGCCTCGTGACCTTTCTGACGAGGCTGGAGAGCAAGGCAGTTGGAGAACTATTAATTATTATTTATTACTGGCATTTGTACCCCGTCTCTTCTTTACCCCCAAAAGGGGACTCAGGACGGCTTACATTAGTAACGGTGCAAGACCACCACATCACAATTACAATAATATAACGCACAATCAAATACAAAACAATCTGGGTTGTTGTAGTTTTTTCCGGGCTATATGGCTATGTTCTAGAGGCATTTTCTCCTGACGTTTCGCCAGCATCTATGGCAAGCATCCTCAGAGGTAGTGAGGTCTGTTGGAACTAGGAAAAAGGGTTTATATATCTGTGGAATGACCGGAGTGGGACAAAGGACAGTTGTCTGCTGGAGCTAGGTGTGAATGTTTCAACTGACCACCTTAATTAGCATTTGATGGCTTGGCAGTGCCTAGGGGAATCTTTTGTTGAGAGGTGATTAGATGTGCCTGATTGTTTACTCTCTGTTGTTTTGCTGTTGTAATTTTAGAGTTTTTTAATATTGGTAGCCAGATTTTGTTCATTTTCATGGTCTCTTCCTTTCTGTTGAAACTGTCCACATGTTTGTGGATTTCAATGGCTTCTCTGTGTAGTCTGACATGGTGGTTGTGAGAGTGGTCCAGCATTTCTGTGTTCTCAAATAATATGCTGTGTCCAGGTTGGTTCATCAGGTGCCATAGCAGAGCCAAGCCATCAAGGAAAGGAAAACAAAATCAATTTTTTTGAGTGAAGGACATACATTGGATTATTAGGTGTCTTGTGTCCAAATTTGGTGTCAATTCCCCCACTGGTTTTTGAGTTCTGTTAATCCCACAAACGAACATTACATTTTTATTTATATAGATTATATAACAAAATATATTATATAAAATTACATATTATATTACTATTAGTATTTTATTGTATTACATTGTAACATTATAACATTTATTGGTCTTTTTCGCAGTCTGGGGGATCTCCAGAAGCCTTTTCTCAAATGGTCCTGGCCTGGCCCAGTTTTTATTGTGTCTTAATATACTGTCTATTGCATGTCGTTAATATTGCTGTATCTGTGCTGTCGCACGCTGGGCCTGTGCATAAGACTGTAGACAGGACATAAATTCTGTGTGCCCAACGGAATGCCAGGGCTGCCTCAGATTAAAGGCCCTTGCACCTCCCCAAAACAAAGTTCTGTAGAGGCTTAAAGTAAGTCCAACAAAGTTCTTTATTGATGAAAACAAACAGGTACTTTCAAGGTTTCGTAACAGTCTATTGGCTCTTGCAATCTTGTCCACAGGGAACAGGCACTATCTTCATAACTGTAACTAATGGGGAAATCCTTAACTTCTAATCTGGGCAGTCTGTACTTGCCTCTGTTGGCGTGGAGCCCCTGCACCCGGTACCAACTGCGTCTGGCTTCCGCGAGTGACCCTTACCAAGCAGAGTTTTGTAGACTTCAAGGGGAAAAGAAGGAGTTCAGGTTGCTGTTATGGCTGGCTGAAGTCCCTCAGCAAAGGAGCTGTAAGGCTGTATGATCCTCGGCCAAGCTGTGGGACCTTTTCCCCCCGGCCAAGCTGTAGGCTGTATAACCCCGGCCAAGCTGTAGAAGATGAAGCTTTCTGCAGGAACTCTTGGTATTATGTCCTGCATGGAAAGCTTCTCTGTGTGGACTGAACTCAAACTGGCTCATATTCTCTCCAAAACCCCAAAAAGGGGGCGGGACCAGGGAACCTAACGATAATTGACAGGTGGCTTGCCCTATGATTGCATCCAAAAGAAGCCACCTATCTGCAGAGTCCCTGAAACTTAGGACTATAAACAAACATTCAATGCAAAGCAAACAAAATTGGAGCTCCTGGTACAGTTGTACCTGCACAGTATCCTATCAGCTTTTCTCGCTGAAGCTATTTAGAAATGCTGCGTTTGGGTGGTCCATGGAAGCATTCCCTAGAGCAGGCCTGGGCCAACTTGGATTTCCCTCCAAGTATTTTGGACTTCACCTCCCACCATTCCTCGCAGGCTCTGACCACCGCTGAGAAGGGGCCACCACCGAGAAGGCCCTGTCCCTCATCTCCGCCAAACAGTTAGCCAGAGTGAACCTGAGGATTGTGGGATACTTGGTTCACAAGGCAAAGGGGTTGGGAGGTATTCAGGCGAAGCGTCAGGAGAGAATGCTTCTGGAACATGGCCATACAGGCCGAAAAACACAACAACCCAGTGATTCCATGGAAGCCTTTGACAACACAGTTTCAGGTGAATTATGATAGAACCAATGAGGAAATAGCATTTCTCGCCCAGGAACAACCATCATAGCCTTACACAATGTTGTGTTGTTGTCAGTCATGTGTTGGATTAGATCCAGGCCTCAGGCGACTGGAGATAAGGATGAAGCCTTTGCGAGGCCTCCCTCCGCAAGGGGGCGCTGGAGCGGAAACCACCACACCGGAAGTCGGTTTCTTACCCATTGCTTACATTGCGCATGCGCGCCGCAGCTTCATCTTCCCCTTTTCAAAAACAGCCTTCTGCGCATGCGCATAGCCCGTCTGCTTTCCCCTCTTTTCTTTCTCTCACATGACAGAAAAGGAGAAAGAAAGGAGGAGGAGCCTGATTGGTCCTCCAGAAGGCCCCGCCCCTTTTCTGCTCGGGTGGGGGAAGGCACACCGTGAAGTGAAACCTGATTGGCCTGCTCCAAGGCCCCGCCCCCTTTCCAGCTTGGGAGGGAGGTGGAGTGAGGGTGAATAGGACACCTGATTGGTCCTCTGGGAGGCTCCGCCCCTCCTTTTCTTGGGAGGGGTGGGAACAGTGATGTAAGGGAGGAGCCTGATTGGTCCGCTTGGAGGCCACGCCCCTCCTTCTCTGGGGGGGAGGGAACAGTGATGTAAGGAAGGAGTCTGATTGGTCCGCTTGCAGGCCACGCCTTCTCTTCTTGGGAGGGGGCGGGAACAGTGTTGCAAGAGAGGAGCCTGATTGGTCCGCTTTTAGGCCACGCCCCATCACTTTTTGAGAGGGAGGAAACAGTGTTGTAAGAGAGGAGCCTGATTGCTTCGCTTGGAGGCCACGCCCGTCTTCTTGGGAGAGGGCGGGAACAGTGGAGTTAGAGAGAAGTCTGATTGGTTTGCTTGGAGGCCACGCCCCTCTATTTGGGAGGGGGCGGGAACAGTGTTGTAAGAGAGGAGCCTGATTGGCCCACTTGGTGGCCCCGCTTCTCCTCTACTTGAGAGAGGGAGAGAACAGTGATGTAAGAGACGAGCCTGATTGGTCCACTTCGTCGCCCCGCCCCTACTCCTCTTGAGCGAGGGCGGGAACAGTATTGTAAGAGAGGAATCTGATTGGTCCACTTCGAGGCCCCGCCCCTCCTCTTCTTGAGCAGGGGCGGGAACAGTATTGTAAGAGAGGAACTTGATTGGTCCTCTCCGAGACCCCGCCTTCTTTTCCTTCCCGGCTTGTAAGTAGAAAAGGACGTCCGATTGGTCCGCTCGAAAGCCCCGCCCCTTTTCTACTTTGGTAGGGGAACTGTGAAGTGAGGCGAAAGGAGGAGCCTGATCTGAGTCCTCAAGAGGCCCCGCCCCTTTTCAGTTTGGGAGGGGGGACCTTGAAGTGAGGGGGAAGGAGGAGCCTCATTGGTGGACTGTCGGCCGCGCCCCCTTTTGAGCTTGGGAGCCAAAAGGGGCGTGAAGCGAATGAGTGAGGGGAAGAAAGGAGGAGCTTGATTGGTCTACTTGGAGACCGTGATGTAAGAGACGAATCCTGATTGGTCCCCCTCCTTTTCCGGGTGTGAAGAGAGGGGGAGAAGGAGAAATCCTGATTGGTCCACTCGGAGGCCCCGCCCCTTCTCAGCTTGGGAGGGGAACAAAAGGCAGAGAGAGCGGGGGAGGGGAAGGGAAGAGACGCCGAAGGAGAAGGAGAAGGTTCTGAGGTAAGGCTGGCTTCGAGAATGGCGGGAAGGGAAGGCAAGGGAGACCGAGGAGGGAAGGAAGGAAGGCCTCTTCTCAGAGCCCGGGAGAAACCATTTCTGGAGATGGGTGGGGAAGGGGTGCTTCCAATCTCCCTCATTGCTTTCTATAGATCTATTCCTCTGAGGGGATATACAAGGCCTTGTTTTAGAAAGGCCCCTCTCGCTCCCTCAGAGGGTTCGCCTTCCTGGGTGTCCCTTCCCCCCCCCTTTTCCAACAAGTCAGTGGTTTGGTCCGAGGGACGCATGCGCAGTCTCACTCTCCCCCTTTTCTCTCACTCTCCCCCTTTTCTCTCTCTCAGAGAGGCAGAGAGAGGGAGAGAGAGAGGGAGGGGGCCTGCTTCTGATTGGGAGGCCCTTGCTGTGAGTGTGCTTCAAAGGGAGGGAGACTGAGAAAGGAATGGAGGGAATGGCTGCTTGCTTTTCTGCAGGTCCATAAAGAGAGGTGTGTCTAAGCCAGGCCTGGGCCAACTTGGGCCCTCCCTCCTGGTGTTTTGGACTCCAACTCCCACAATTTCTCACAGCCTCAGGCCCCTTCAATTTGGCAAAACCACCTATATACACAAACACACATATACACAAATATATATACATAATACATACACACAAATATATATACACACAATACATACACACAAAACACATATACACAGACTGGGCCACAGCAACGCGTGGCAGGGAAGGGCTAGTATAATATATAATATAATAAGGTCCATAAAGAGAGAGGTGTAAGCCAGGCCTAGGCCAACTTGGGCCCTTCCTCCTGGTGTTTTGGACTTCATCTCCCACCATTCCTCACAGCCTCAGGCCCCTTCAATTTGGCAAAACCACGTATATACACAAACACACATATACACAAATATATACACACA